CAGCGGCGTCGTTTCCATTTTTTTAATGTCAGGATGAACAGGCGAGATGTCGGAGCGGGAAACTTCAACAGGTTAATTGTTTGACAGACAGAAGTCCAAGACGAATACTATTATGTTACGACTACTACTAATAATATTAAAAGTCACAGGAACCTTTAGGCATTCGTCTGAGACGGCGAATCTTTCTCTTCTCGTTCAATGTATTTCTCAAAAGAATGACGAAAAATAGCATAGCGAATGTTGGCCTACTACCCGAAGGTTTATTATAATGCCCTAGTGGGTATCAATCAAGAGTGCTTGCAGTAGTTACCCAATGAGTGTTTTGAAAAGGCTCTGAAAGGCCGCTCTTATGCTCTCGCTGTGATTGTGCTGCGCCTTCCGCCCAGGCCTGGCGTTTTTTTTTTTTTTTTCGTATCAGCTGCTTTGACGACACCGAAACCAACGGTTGCTACCAAGTAGTATTAACTGACTAAAGACGGCTGTTGTACTTGATCCCAAATTCTGGAAACAAGCCTTTTTTTTTTATCTGTCCACATTGGAACGCCCCGCCGAAACCAGTCATCCACCTACCGACCTCACACTCGTAAGTAAAACACAATAGCCACTGGGTCGATACAACAGTTTCATTGCTCATAGAAGCACAACCAACAGGCAGTGGCCTGGACAGATAACCACAGTGTGTGTTTCGCAATCATCGCAGGCCTAAACCGTAGGCGGGGTCGGGAAGCGACTTTTTCTAGCAATCGCGCACGAAATAGCCATCGTGAATTTAAAGCCCTTAATATATTCTGAGAATGGAGTATTTATGTCTTCTTTTCATAATATTACAAGAGGGTACCACTCAAGCTCTGCTTTCAGGTACAGCTTCATAAGACAGAAACTCTCTTTGGTCATTACGTGCACGCCATAGTCGCAGGCTGCAGCATCTTTATTTCTCTTTATTTGGTTGCACCCTCGTAATCAAGTGAAACCATCTATTTGTGTGTGTGTGTGTGTGTGTGTGTGTGTGTGTGTGTGTGTGTGTGTGTGTGTGTGTGTGTGTGTGGTGTGTGTGTGTGTGTGTGTGTGTGTGTGTGTGTGTGTGTGTGTGTGCACGCATTTGTGTGTCTGTGTTTATTTACTAAACGTAATAGATCGCAGCATTGCCGAAATCCGGAGAGAGAAGATGAGATGCACGCAGCTGGTCGAATAGCGGTGAAGATTACATAAACACTGCCGTATTACTTTCAAGCCCGGTTTTCATCAGTGGAGTGAGAAAATATACAATATAAAAAAAATCTTGCCATCACAACCAACAACAGCGCGAGCTTCCATTGCAGCGATAGCATCCTTATGTACTCTGTGCGAAAAAAAAAAGTTTACGTTGTTTAAATGGGAAACAACCCATTTACCAAAAAAAAAAGAAGAAATAGTTCAGGAGAGAGCTCAGTTTCAGACACGCGTCGAGTTCATTCGCTTCTGTTTCTTTTTTTTTTTTTTTGCTCGCTTCGTGCAATCTCCAGGAGAAATTACCTGTTCGGCAGCACACAATAAGCATGCCCGACAGCCTGATAGGGGCGCATTTACGCTTGAAATTCGCGATGCGCATCAGCAATGCAAGCAACAATCGATCAGCAGGGATGCGTCTGCCCAACCATGCTGCGGCTACCGGAGTTTTATGTATATTCGTAGCATTTCTGCGCAGAATGCGCGCAGCTAATAAAGAAAAAAACACATTTAAAGCACCTGTCAGCTCTTCTGTACGCGAAGCAGATCGTACGGCCACATCAATAGACAGTGTCTCTCCCTATATTGTTACCACTACGCGTAAAGTACACACCGATGAATTGCCTAATTGTTCTTTATAATGGAAATTCAGTCGCAGGTATACGCTATAGTCTCTGCAGTACGCAGGCTGACGTCACACCACATTTTGAACATGCATGTGTAAAAAGAGCGGACCTGACTGGCATATTTTATGTAATGACTGCATGTGTGCAAACGCTTTTTTTTTTCGTACTAGCGGAATGCCGGGCAGTGTAAACCGAGCCCAGTTTACTTCTGTACTGTTTGTCACTCTCTGATGGAAAGTGACACATCCACGTTATAACGACAAAACAGAATCAGCAGGCCAAGGAAACTTGGCTCATTCAAGTTCAGACTTTGCTCGTAGCTCGAGTTTAGCTTGCTTAAAATAGTAAATGAATCAAACCTGTAACCAACGGGATGTAAGTCAAGAACTTCAGTAGCGGATTGATCACTCCAATAGACGCATTAATCCCCGTTATCGAAACAGTTTTGTTTACTTGGTTTGATTTGGTCACGTGCGTATCAGCACAAACATGCTCAGAGCATGCGAAGGGACAAAATTATTCCCTGTTTTTTTAGGGGCGAAACTCCTAAAGGCGTGGGTCTGTCCATCCCTTGTATGTACGTGACCGCCTATAGTTCCACCTTTGCAAACTGCCCACTACTTCGTCCTTGCAAACATCTCACTGCGCCCCATCACCGATCCACCACTTCACTGACCATAAATCAAATATTGTTGAGAAGTAGCCAATATAAAATGCAAGATGGTCGTGTGCTTGTATGCAAGTGCGCGTTAAAGAACCATATATTGTCCCACTGCGTATATCCCTTGTTTGCACGTGACTGCATATAGTTGCACCTTTGCAAACTGCCCACTGCTTCGTGCAAACATCCCACTATAGGCCCCATCACCGATCCACCACTTCACTGAGCATAAAGCCGTTACAATGAAGGGATAACGGAAGCGACGTATAGCTACCACTTACGAATAATAAAATTTCCTGTGTAAAAATTATACGGTGTTTGTCACATCTTCGATGATGTAGTGGGCGATATTCACGGGTGGTTCCCGGTTTAGCGATAAAACCTTCCAGTGCTTCACCCCACTCATCATCATTCACTTCGTCGATATGCTGTGATATTTTTTTCTTCATCACGCCTGCCTGCGAAACTTAAAAGTACTTCTTGTCATGTGTTCAGCACTGTTACTTCCAGCTTTATGCTATGTGTAAAGGCAGTCAGGAAGCGCGAACGTATAGTGTCTTTCCGGTCCTTCGGGGTCACCATGGCCTTGTGCTTCTGCGCACGATGTCGAGGTTTCGATTACCAGACAAGAGGTCGCATTTCGATGGGGGCAAATTACAAACGCTGGTCCACTTGGACATGAACAATCCTTGAACTACATCTAAAAATACGAAAAGCTGGTGAGTTATCCTCATCTATAGTCCTAACCATCTTTTTGACACACTTGACGTCACAAATGAACAAACTCTCGATTGATCCATAAGTGAGCGATATCAGCTGTGACGTGTCTGCTACTGCAACCTTTGCTCCTTATCTCGATTGGCTGTCATACGCGATCAACTGATTTCCTGTCATTCATGTCTTGCACTGCGTCTGTATACTCCATAGAAGCGTGAAGCCGCGATAAGTGTGATTCAGTACTAACAGTGTTCACTCGTGTCCCAAAGAAATAAGCGGCGAAAATGAGGCGCGCCACCTGCATGGATAGAAGCGAAGCTGAGAATGAAAGTTCTTTTTCGCCTTCCAGCTCAACGTAGTTTGGGGACATTGAAGGAGCGCTCGCGGTAAGTTGACTCCAAGTGGAAATTTATCCGGATTTCGCAGCTATAGCGCCACTCATAACCTGCTGCGCAGCACTGTGTGTAAACCTGCAATACTCTTTTTCATTCAATGTTTGCCTCCCACACTCCGCATAGGTTTCTTCGCAGTTTATTTATTTATTTATTTATTTATTTATTATTTATTATTTATCTATTTATTATGACAAACGTGTATAAACCATAACTTATTAATATTAACGTGTCACACTGAACCGAAGACGTCTAAACCGTAACCTCGCATTACATGTGCGTCCTTGCAAACCAAGTTTCATCAGTGTTAAACATTTGAATTAAATATGCATAAAGCAATGTCTTTTGTCTCCCGTACTTACTCCTGAATTGGCGGTCCGATGCTATATACTACACTGAAAAATCTGGTGAAATAATTTTAACAGGAATGAACTGTTTTCCGGATATGAGTGCACGCCAGAGGCATAACGTTAAAAAAAAGGGGGGGGGGGGGGGGGTAGTTCGTTCAATTCCCTGTGATACAATGCCGTACAAACAGCTCAGTGAAAGGTTGCAACAAATAAATACGTGAAAAAGGAGAAGAAAAGCCGTTTCTTTTTCTATGTATTTAGTCGCATGCATGATGCAGGGTTTTGACCTGCTCGATGGATGATTGCGCCGAATCGTGCTCAACCACGGCGCTTGATAAACATGACCAAAATCGCGCTGATTGAACTAGTCTAGGCGAGAGGAGCAAGCGGAAAAGAAACCGCGGCGCTGCAAAACGACACAGCATTAACCACAGAAAAGCTATGGTCGCAGGGCAAAGACAGGCGCGTAGGGCCCATTTCCACCCTGGCACAGCTTGTGGCATAGCTCGTTACGCGAAAATGCCAGTGGTTCATGACACCCGCCGAGCGCTTTACGCGCTGCGGAGCACGTCCATTCATTAGCGCCGACGGAGCCGTGCCGCTTGTCTTAACACGCCCGAAAAAGGGGCGGAGTCACATAGTAATGAGAGAAGCGATGCATAAATTATCATCAGATGCGTCGACAAAAGGGAGAGATAACGCCGACGAAAGAGAGAACACTGAATGGGGAGCCAGGGGAGAAGAAAAAAATTAGGAGAGGGTGTGAGAGAAGACGGAGGGAGCACTCCCGCGCGCCAGAGGGAGGAAAGGAAGCGTCGAATTGAGCTCGGGCTTTCCAATTAGCGACGGCGGGCCCTGCGGGCCCTAAGGAGCAGAGAGGGTTGGAAGGAGGAGGGGGGGGGGTCTCTCCGAAGGGTGCGCCGCCGCCGTGGGTGGAGGGGGAGAGAGCAGCGCGTAGCCATTCCGGGATGAAGGGGAGCCATCAGCACTGTCAGCACGGCGACGGGAACGACGCGGAACGCGCAGAAGAAAATGAACGCAGACTTACGTTTGGTTTTCGAGCGGGAGGAATATGGCGGCAGTGACGGCAGCAACGGTGGTGGCGTCGGACCCGGTCGAGAGAGATCAATCGATGCGGGGAGTGTGGCGACAGAAGAAAAAAGAAAATCAGGGGGAAAATGCAGAAAGAAAAAAGCCGGAAGGCTATCTGGAAGGCGGGGACGAGACTATGTGCCGAAAGGCGCGGGCGGACAAATTAAAGCGTAGTTTTGAGGAAAAGGTGCTCGAGCCGGGCAGCTTCCTCGAAGTGAGCGGCCTCGGAATGGAAGCGCCACGGAGCGTTTCTTTAGCCGCTCCCTCCCTTTCCTCGCGGTGTTCTCTTTTATTTCTCTCGGGAAAGGCGCGTGGAGTGTCTCTGTTTAGGCTTTTTTTTCTCGTGCCACGAAAGTGAGGGGAGAAGCGCGCCATATCGCTTCGATTACGTTGCCGAGCGCCGGGGGGCGCTGTTGTTTTCGTAGCACCGGGCGACCTCTCTGGACCGCATGCGTCGAAACGCATCTTGCCTCAGGCGCGCAACAAGCCCCCAGTAAGCGGGAGATTTAAATTTTCCGTGAATTGTGTGCTGTCTCGATACGCGGCCACTGCGTGTTCAGAAGTATATTCGACGTGTTAGGGATATAAGGAAAACGTACGCCTATCGTTTATTCGACACTCAAGCAAGTTCCGAACACGCGCGACATTGAGATAGCTTTTGGGAGGCCGCACAGCAGGTACACGATTTTCTCGGCCAGAAGTCCCGTATTAAACTCCTAAAGCGCAGTGTGACAACGCACACTAGGCCCAACATTTCTTTCTCCTTGCTTTCATCCCCGTGACCGACAATTTAGAACACACAGGAGTACATATGAATGGGCGTGGCTTGTAAAACAGCAAGGAATGCAGTGAATAAGATGCAATGGAAGAACTACACCAGCTTGTGCGATCATGATTTATTACTGCTCCTAGGGTGACGTCATGCCTCTCGACATTGAAAAACAAGTTATTAGGAGATATGCGCTTGCATTCTTCTACGTACAGTCCATTCCGAAGCCACAACATTGGATGCCCACTGCGCTGTCAAGAATTACCTATATCTATGTGCTGGTAAGCATATTCGCCGTTCAATCAAAGTTAATGTGCTGGGTAGTGAGCTTCCCACCTGACAACGCAGAACACAAAACACCGGAAAACACCATGATGTGACTATCAATACGAACAGCCACATTAAGACACATCAGCATTACAATACGGGTGCTTTTTACTTGACATGCATGGGTCACCGCTTCTTTCGGCAATATTGTGTGCCTTGCGTACACACGCCGTCAGTGTATCGATCAGAATGGTTATCTTGTCAAAGAATGTGTCGGAGTAATAAAGCAAACTGAAACATAAAACATTGTGAAGAGGTACATCCACAGGAATCCTATAAGAGAGATACCTAGAAAATTCTTTTTTTTTTTGCCTTTTATGATCCTACTTCTTTACTACGCTGCTGAAATGTGACACACGTTGGTCGAATATGTCAGCTTATTATCGGGCATTTTTCATGATGTCAAAGTCTTCTCTTTACATATTTGTATAATAAAATCCAGACACATCGACGAAGACCGACGCCCAGTGTCGCTCATGAGAGCAGCACTAATGAGATATGACAAAAATTACTTATTTTTCGAAAGAGCAAGATTTTAAGAAACGAACATCTCAAACTGATGCAGTGCACACAACGCGAAACACACATCTCTTTTTTGCACGCATGCCATTCTGAAGGCTTCGAAAACACTAATATGCACTTCTTGAAATCACGCTTGGAATTACTTCAATTTATTGTATACGCGCATAAGTTTGGACTACCCCGCCACGGTGGTCTAGTGGCTAAGATACTCGGCTGCTGACCCGCAGGTCACGGTATAAATCCCGGCTGCGGAGGCTGCATTTTTCACGGAGGCGAAAAAGCTGCATAGGCCCGTGTGCTCAGATTTGGGTGCACGTTAAAGAACCCCAGGTGGTAGAAATTTCCGGAGTCCTCTACTACGACGTCTCTCATAGTCATATGGTGGTTTTGGGACGTTAAGCCCCACATAATAATCAATCAAATAAAATCAAAAGTTTGTACTTGGCCTCCCATTACGGTGTTGTGAGGTAGCGCAACAATTTCAAGCCAGTATACGCCAATGCGTATAGATGGAAGTCAGCTCAATTTTTAATATAGCTTTTCTAGAAGCAAATACATCATGCGTAAACAATACAGTTAGAAGTATTAAAAACAGGGAGTCTGGGAGGTGTCAAGTAGGCAATGTCCCTAAAGCTAAGTATCAACAGGGGAACTAAAGCATTCGTCAGACCATTGTGTAGAAAAGTTGCCTACACGAACATTTTTGGTTTCGCAACTTCTCATCCAATCTGTCAGGCATCTTGTTAAAAAGGCTGTTTTACGGTAGCTGGATGAAGCCGAGGCAACCTTAATCCTGCCGCCCTGGAAATATTTCGTCGCTATTTTAAGGTAGCTAGATGAAGACGAGGCAACCTTAATCGTGCAGCCCTGGAAGTATTTCGTCAACAAGTTAAAAATACTTTTACATAGCGTATAGGCACTACTAATCACAATAAATGTCATAAATTTGCGTGTGTCCACATTTATACGTTTATGACATATATGTTTAGTATTTAACAAAGCCAACAAATATATACACTGCAACTGCAATTAAAATACACAAGCACACGAAACGCGAGCAGAAGATCAAAAATGCAAAAAATTTCAATCATCATAAAAAGTTAATTTTCACAGCAACAAAGAACTGCAAAGCGCACTGCGAGCAGAAAATTTGAAGTAGTACACTAAAGTTACCACTACATATTTCCTGCACTTAATACACTCAAATGCTGGCATAATATATTTATAATACACCACAGGCTATAGGCAACTGGCCTTAAAAGTAAAAGTTTTCATGCAAAGTAAATCATCGTAAATTCTCACTTGAATGTTTTCCCTGCAAAAAAAGTACAGTTACTAAAATCTGATAGTTTGTTAAAAAAAGGTGGCAATCAATTTCAGAAACTGAAATTGTTTCAGTTTATTTTTTAAACGAATGCAATGGTGAAGTAGAGCGATATGATTTCCACAACAAATATTCTCGAATTTCCTTGAAGTAACCTTGTTGGCCATTTTACTAAATTATTGGATATTTCCCCATAGTTTAGCAGAACATTATCTTCAAAATTAACACTACATAGGAAATCCTGAGGTGAAAGCTTGGCTTTTTTATCTTACGTTGCACAAACTGCGGACCAACATCGGGAAAATTCTTGGAACATTAAAACAGAAACCCATTCTACGATACGACTCCGAACCCTGTGATTAACAAGTGAACTGATAGTTGCGGAATTACAAGCATACTGCTCCCATTTACAAGTACGATGCCTATTATTTCATTTAACTTCAGCCACTACTACAGCTGATTGCTCATTTTGCGAGATGGCGTTCATATAAGCTAAATGCGCGAGAATTCCGGCGGCAAGAAGAAGCCTTTCTTCTAGCTTCGACTAAAACTGAGACTGCTCCTAGAGTGTTGAATGTTCCGTACAGCCTTATTTTGAATGAGTCGGCCCAATGCGACATCATTGTGGCCCGATTGATGCAAATTTTCTGGTTAAAGCTTGTGAATAAGGTTCTGCGGACGCATTCGTGGTACACCTACAAGGATAAGTTGTGATCCTTGCGCCATTCCCGATTGGTCGACGGCATTAACGACGCTCGAGAGACGGCGTCATATCAACAACCACACCAACAGTGGTATAGCAACAGTATATAAAGAAGACAGATACAGCCGACGCCAAACTGGACACTTTCGCTCGGCTCGCTATAGTCTTGGCCGAAAGTAGCGTTGAACAACTGACAAATCGACGCATGGCAGCAATTTCGGGAGCCTCCCAGTGAACATCAATCTCGGAAAAAAAAGCTGCGCGCGAGTTTCCCGGACAACAAAAGTCATTTTCTGCGGGTATATTTTTTCCTGCCTCACTGTCAAGAAATCCGGCGACTCCGCCGAGGGTTGTCCTGCTCAGTCGTATATAATTTCCCACCGATTCCCGACTTATCGATGGGAACAGCGCGCGGCTGTCGATGTGCTCGACGTTGTATGGAATTATCGATTCACTAAGCATTTCTCCCTCTCGTCTCGTCGGTTGCCGAGCGCGCAAAAATACTCGGGCCGTGTTTATGCACCGCCTTCGCTTCGGCGAAGCTCATTTTTGCAAAGGCTTGCTGCTCGAAGTGGATTCCTGTTTTTCTTTATCTCTCGCCGCTGTTCGCGTCGGCCAAACACAAGAGAGAGCTCTGGCGAACGACTTCTTCGCGTCGGCGCCTTCTACTGCGCCTTACTGTGGTCGACTTCGCCATGCATCAGCAGCTGCGAAGACACGCGTATTACCCAGGGAAAGATTTCGCGCCTGCCGTCAACGCGCAGTCTTTGTTTTCTCCTCTCGTGCCCAGATTTAGGCCTCACAATTGGTTCCTGCCCTCCTTCGCTCGCTTCCATGAACCTTTGAGCGGCGCACTTCGCGTGGGTGACCGTCGGCTCGTACCGGTTTCGCTGCACGCGCTGAGACGTTGTGTCGTTGCGGACGTGTGTAGCACCGGACTTCCCACCATTATGCACGTAACTAATTACGGCAGGTTAACTTTACTTGCTGAAAACATTGCACTGTGTTTTCGCTGCCAGGTGCACTTACGTTCACATATATTGTTTTTTTAAAGGTTACTCTAAAAACTAAGACAGAAAGGGAAATTTTTAACGTTCGCGTTCTATCTAAAGTAGCCAATATGTGCAACTAAATGAGTCCGCGCGAGACGAGATACCGGAAAATTGCCTTCTGCCGACTCGCTGTATCTCTATTAGAATTGTAACGTAGCATGCAGCGGCTACTCTGAATGAATGTTGTAGCTTATTATAAAGTTGTTCCGCCTATATATTGCAGCTAAATGTTACAACCATGGTGCGCCTTTGCTCGCAACAATGATAACATGCCTCCCGCCAACGATACTGATGTCGAGTTGCACTTGTGGGAGAGCTTGATTGAGTTTAGCCGAGCGCAGGGAATTCCCCTTCTTGATAGCAATTGCTTTCGTAACGGTGCGCTGGGATAAATTGGTCGCACCGATCTTCTTCCACAACTTCGGCTGTTCACGTTTTTGCACAACTGCTTAAATTGCTTCCAGCGTTGTCGCAATCACTGATTTGTTTCTAGAGAATACTTATGTGATTTTTTGAAGCTGCAGTTCAGCGGAGCAGCGTGAATATG